GCATCATGTCAGTCGATCGCACCGTTACTTCTGCACCAATTTAAACAAACTTATTAAGACGACTGAGAAGACTAAACACAAATACCCCTAAAAAGAAAATAATATTTTGCAGATTACAAACTGCAAGTCCTGAAATCTGCAGCTGAAAACGGTAAAGAAAGCAGAAAGAAAGTTTGGAGTGAGAGAGAAACTTGTGACACCGGGAGGAGGCACCATGAAACTTTCCTGAAGTCACTGGATGGATGGACAAAGTCTGGACTTCAGTGACACCGAAACCATCCTGTCGGGATTCAGAAAGACCAGAATAATTCTAACTGGAACTGATGCTGAGTCTGACAACAGCGACACAGAAGAAGAAGCGATGCTCTGTTTACCTCCGGAGGTCGTGGAGTTGCTCAGAAGTGACACCGAGGATGAAGAATTGAATGGATTTAGTGATTTGGAGTGAGATGGAGAGTTTGGTAAACTTGTTCTATTCTGTTGTCCTGGTCTCAGTCCTGGTCTCAGTCCTGGTCTCAGTCCTGGTCTCAGTCCTGGCCCCAGTGTGGTCCAGGTCTGGTCCTGGTCTCAGTCTGGAGGCTTTGTCCCGGTCTCAATCACAGTCTGGTCCTGGTCTGGTCCCGGTCTGGTCCCAGTTTGGTCCAGGTCTGGTCCTGGGCTCATTCCCGGTCTCAGTCCTGGTCTGGTCCTGGTCTGGTCCCGCTAATTTTGTGGTGCAAAAGTCCGGCATCGCAGTTTAAGTCACGTAAACAGGAAATGGCTGTTATCTGTTTTTTCCACAAAATCGAAAACTGAAAGCTTCATTTTGGTTTTGGAAACAAATAATGAGGAAAATCGTAGTTTTTTCGTTTTCTTATTTTTGGTTTGATATTGAAAAATGAATGAACGAATGATAAGACTAGTATCATCATTTTGGTAGTTTATTTTATCATCTTATTATTGTTGTTATTATTATGTATTTGTGCAGCACTTTGGAAACCGTTTGTTTGTGAATTGTGCCGTAGAAATAAGTGGATTGGACTGACACACAGATTTTTACATTATCTGAAGAACTGTTCACTACAACTTGACTTTCAACATGAAATCTCGGTTCCTGGTCTCTGATTTTATTAAATGCATTTCCCCCAAAAAGTGCGGCTTATATAGGTTTTGTTTTTGTTTTTCTTCTTCATTACGCATTTTTGGGCTGGTGCGACTTATACTCCAAAACATATACGGTCCACACAATTGAGCTTTAAAGGTTGTATAGAGGATTTTCCAAGGAACGAGAAATCCAGCGACTGTTTGTCCTTTTTCAAATGTTGCGCATGCGTGAAACCACCCCCCCCTCCCCTACAGCTCCTACGTAGAAACACCTCCTCCCGCCTCCTCCTTACGCCAGAAACAGGTTTGTTTACAGCCGGTGCTGCACATGACTTGTAAACAACTAACTACAGTGTTGGTTAGGCAAGACGGAGAAGTGAGGAGCGGGGGGAAGAGCGGAACGGGCAGCGGGGAGAGGAGCAGGAAAGGGGTGCAGAGAAGGGTGCGCGGAGATTCCGTGCGAATGAACTAGCTACAACACGCAGCAGCAAGCGGACTCTTTCTTTGCCTTGAAAATTACGTTTTCAGACATAGGATATCACATTCGTGTCCTGAAAAACGTTTGTGTAGCTCTTGGAAATAAAGTACGTTTTCATAATAAGCAGAAGTTTCCTGTCCAGGAGTAATTTGTGGACCAGTGGTTCAGTCTTTAGACCCTGTGTCTGCTTCAGTCGCGCCATCGCTGGAATGAATCTCCAAGAATCACCTTAGTTTGGCTTCGCTGCTTTTCCCCTTGTCTTCTTCTTTCAGCGACCTCAAAAACGGACTTTCTTTTGCGGCGAACTGCTCCTGGATTCTTGTCGCCATTGCAACAAACTTTATGCGAACTGCGAGGAAGATATAGGTCAAAAAAAGCCGCTAAGAACTGTTGCGTTGGTGGAGTAAACAGCGTCTGTGCGGCTTGCGTCTGTGGACTGCGTGACAGTCGTACGTAAACCACGTACCGGCGGCGCAGGCAAGTCAGTTACGCTAGAAACGTAGGGAGTTTGATTGACAGCCTGTCAGCTCACAGATAACGAGGCAGTGTCGTTATCTATTGGCAAATGTTTAGCCCCACCACGTCCAGAGTTGATGAATTTTTATTCTCTTTTTTTTCGTCATCATAATTACACGGCTACTGCATCTCTATAATCTATCACTGACAATTTGAAACAAAAAAAATCCTCCATACAACCTTTAAGGTATGTTAGGATCTTTTTGTTTAAGAGAGCTTGGAAGTTCCAGAGTGGAATTTATCCAAACAATTCTAGCAAAAGTGTAGGGAGTTTAAAAACATGACACTTCCTTTCTTAACACATGACATCACAAGTTGCAACAGAGTGTTTTCAGTTTGAGAGAAGAAGAACTCTGACTAAATATACAGGGTTTGTGTGTTAAACATGTGTGAATGAAAAAAAAAAAAAACAGTATTTACTCTGTTTTTGACGAGGGAACAACATTATAACCTAGATCAGAAAATAGCGTATAATTGTCCCTTTAACATTCCTGCTCATATTTTTTAACATCTCACAGCAAACCTATCTCCACGGAGACGACCCACCATCAGAAAAGTTACATACTGAACCTTTAAGTCTCCAAAAACTGCTGCGAAAAAGAAATTAGAGTTAAAATTCTGTAGTTTGGACATGTCTTTGTTTATTTACTTACATAAGGGATAAACTTATTTTCAACAACGTAATGGTCCAGACAAACAGCTTAAGGACACACTGCGCGTACATAACAAAGGTCAACTTAAATAATACATAGCTTCGGTCCGAGTAGGTGTATTTTTTTGGGCGACTGCGGTTTTCGCTCGTCTTCTATACTCGCCGTGTTATAGTTGGAGGCTGGTAGAGAAGTGGTGCAGTGGTACAGTAGTATGCAGCCTGCACTCTGCAATCTGGAGGGAGTTGGTATTCTGCTCTCAGCCCAGACGAGCCTCTTCCTCCTCTGCACTGTGAGAAAATATAGTCCCTCCACCACCACCACCACCACCACCACCAGCAGCAGCAGCAGCAGGAGGAGCAGGAGCGGCGGCGGCGTCGGACTGAGCCAGAGCTACAGGAGCACAGCGGAGCCAATGGGAGCGCTGATTGAGAGGCAGAAAATAGAAAGGAGAGAATAGGAAAAAGGAAATGACTGTATTACAGGAGACTGCGATAGTGGTTTGGGTTGGCGAAAGTATCGAAAATGAGATGCTAATCAATGCTGGAATTACTGCAACTGCTATTAAAACAAATATCGAAACTAGATACTCGTTTGAGCAAGTACTACTACTACTACTATTACTACTACTACTTCTATTTAAACAAATATCGAAACTAGATACTCGTTTGAGCAAGTACTACTACTACTACTATTACTACTACTACTTCTATTTAAACAAATATCGAAACTAGATACTTATTTGACGAAGTACTGATGTCTTATAATTAGAAACACACAGATTTCTTATTTTAACCAATACTTTTTACATATACAGAGCCAAAACAGGTTTAGTAGTAGTAGTAGTAGTAGTAGTGTAGTAGTAGTAGTAGTAGTAGTAGTAGTAGTAGTAGTAGTAGTAGTAGTAGTAGATATTCATTTGAGCAAGTATTGATACCAAAAAGTCAAAACTTCTTTTTTAACCTCTACTTTTACAATATACTTATACTTTACTGCATAAATAACTACAAGTAATACTACTACTGCTACTACTACTACTACTACTACTGCTACTACTACTGTTACTACTACTACTACTACTGCTACTACTACTACTACTATTACTACTACTGGTACTGGTACTAATGCTACTACTACTACTGCTGCTGCTACTACTACTACTACTACTACTATTACTACTACTGGTACTGGTACTAATGCTATTACTACTACTGCTACTACTACTACTACTACTACTACTACTACTACTACTACTACTACTACTACTACTACTACTACTACTACTACTACTACTACTACTACTGCTACTACTACTACTACTACTACTACTACTACTACTACTACTACTACTACTACTACTACTACTACTACTACTACTACTACTACTACTACTACTACTACTACTACTACTACTACTACTACTACTACTACTACTACTACTACTACTACTACTACTACTACTACTACTACTACTACTACTACTACTACTACTACTACTACTACTACTACTATTACTAGTACTGGTACTAATGCTACTACTACTACTACAATTACTACTACTGGTACTGGTACTAATGCTATTACTACTACTGCTACTACTACTACTACTACTACTACTACTGCTACTGCTACTACTACTACTACTACTACTACTACTACTACTACTACTACTACTACTACTGAAACTAGCATCAAAACTACACACTCATTTGAGCAAGTATCGATACAAAAAAAATCACCACGATGAGTTTATAAGCACAACTTTCAGAGGTCAGAGCAGAGTCACAACAATAACGACAACAACTAGCATGCTAACAGAGCACCAGCATGCTATTTAGACATTCTAAATAAATCTGTAGTTCAAAATTTGGTATAGACACATTCCAGGAGGGAATTCTTGGTCCGGGTCGAGTTTGTAAAGGTTAAATTAAACGATATCGAGACTAGAATAAGAAAACAAGATGAATAACCTGATATAAATTTTAAAATCTTGGCCCGATCAGAGAAATTTGCAGTTCAGGCCTTTAAAATTGTTGGGGAAAAAAATTATAACATGTATATTTTTTTAAAGAAACCGTTAAAGAATCATTTACTTTGTTTACTGACTCGGGACAATGAAACGTTCTCCTCAGATTTCCCGACAAAATGCGACAAATTTCTTTACAGGCCCAGTAAAACAGAACCTCACTGCTGTGCGAAGTGTGTGACGAGGTTTGTTGTGCGTAAAAGTGCTAACCGTTGTTTTTTGGGGTGTTTGTGTTTTTGTCGTACAGGGAGCGCATGCAGCAGTCGGCCATGTACGACCTGTGTCTGGGGATGAGGCAGGTGAGCCAGGAGTTCGTGCGGCTGCAGCTCACCTTCGACGAGTTCCTCTCCATGAAAGTGCTTCTGCTGCTCAGCACAGGTGAGAACTGGACAGTGTATGAGTAACGCGTTATAAAAGTAACGAATTACAGTAATGCATTACTTTTTGCTGTAGCGCAGTAATGTAAGGCATTACAGGGGAAAAAATAGTAATATTTTACTTGGTACAAATGTGAGTAATGCACCTTACAATGTTTTTTTAACCTGGATTGAAGTGGTGGGTTTTTCTTCATACAAATTCGCTAAAATCACCTCGATATCAGCAGTGGTGAAACGCCGGAGATGCGTAGATCCCTCGTAGACCTTCAGGTAACCGCGGGCGAAAGGACTGACAAAGAACTCCACGCTGTTTAGACCTGGTTTAGACCTGGGTCAGTTCTGGTTTAGACCTGGTTTACACTCGTCCCTCCCTCTATCGCAGTTCACTTTTCACTGTTTCGCAGATTTTTTTTTTTGTGTGCAATTTTGCACAAAAAACATTTTATGAACACATATTGCGTTCCTCCCGCTGCGTCCTGACTGGCCAAGGGACTCCTGTCTCCTCTACAGTACAGAATGTGTTTAGCTGCCAAAGTTAAATACATGTTCAATCTGTAGCAGTGTGATTCTGAAGTGCTGTACGGTTGCAAGTTTTCTCCCCGACGAAACCCACAAAGTCGACGAAACGTTCTGCACCGACAAAGACTCCTGCACTCGCACCCAAAAGGCAGAAGAAGATGCTAAACATCACACAAAAAGTTGGACTTCTGGACATGCTGAAGGAAGGTAGAAGTTACGCGCTGTAACAGACTCTTGCACCGGCTCGGGTCCCTGCAAATAGTTGCTGAAATCAGGGCCGCGAGCCCGAGCAGCAGGGTCCATAAAGAGCGATCGGGCGACAGCCGCTCTTACCTCCGTGAGGTGCGGAGCAGAGCCGCTCCTTTCTCCTGCGTCACCTTCAAGACCGACCTGACACTGAGTCCTGTTTTAGTCCTAGTTCAGTTTGGTTTTAGTCCTGGTTCAGCTCTGGTTTAGTCCTGGTTTAGACCTGGTTTCAGCTCTGGTTCAGTCCATATACAGTGCAAAAGTTATTTTGGTGAGAGTAACTTAAAGTAATGCAATAGTAATGTAATGCCTTACATTTTAAATGCAGTAATATTGTAATGTAACAAATTACTTTGAAATGACAGTAATAAGTAATAAATAACACATTACAGTTTCAAAGTAACTTGCCCAACAGTGGAACTGGACTAGTGCTTCTCACCCGCAACCCGAGCACAACTCACACACACACACAGACACACACACAGACACACACACACACACACACACACACACACACACACACACACACAGACACACACACACACACACACAGACACACACACACACACACACACACACACACAGACACACACACACACACACAGACACACACAGACACACACACACACACACACACACACACACACAGACACACACACACACACACACACAGACACACACAGACACACACACACACACACAGACACACACACACACACACACACACACACACACACACACAGACACACACACACACACACACACACACACACAGACACACACACACACACACACACAGACACGACACACACACACACACACACACACACACACACACCACACACACACACACACACACACACACACACACACACACACAGACACACACACACACACACACACACACACACACACACACACACACACACACACACACACACACACACACACACACACACACACACACACACACACACACACACACACACACACACACACACACACACACACACACACACACACACACACACACACACACACACACACACACACACACACACACACACACACACACACACACACAGACACACACACACACACACACACACACACAGACACACACAGCACACCACACACACACACACACACACACACACACACACAGACACACACACACACACACCACACACACACACACAACACACACACACACACACACACACACACACACACACACACACACACAGCACACACACAGACACACACACACAGACACACACACCACACACACACACACACACACAGACACACACACACAGACACACACACACACACACACACACAGACACACACACACACACACACACACACAGACACACACACACACACACACACACACACACACACACACACAGACACACACACACACACACACACCACAGACACACACACACACACACACACACACACACACACACACAGACACACACACACACACACACACACACACACACAGACACACACACACACACACACACACACAACACACACACACACACACACACAGACACAGACACACACCACACACACACACACACACACACACACACACACACAGAACACACAGCACACACACACACACACACACACACACACAGACACACACACACAGACACACACACACACACACACACACACACACAGACACCACACACACACACACACACACACACAGACACAGACACACACACAGACACACACACACACACACAGACACAACACAGACACACACACACACACACACACACACACACACACACACACACACACACACACACACAGACACACACAGACACACACACACACACACACACACACACACACACACACACAGACACACACAGACACACACACAGACACAGACACACACACACACAGACACACACAACACACACACACACACACACACACACAGACACACACAACACACAACACACCACACACACACACACACACACACACACACACACACAGACACACACACACACACACACACACACACACACACACACAGACACACACTGCTGTTTATTTAACGCATATCTCTGCACCAGTCTGATTTCTGAGCCTTGCTGAAGCATCGTCCTGACCGAAATATCATGATATTAGGGGTGTGCAAAAATATCACAATATTGATATATCGTATCCTCTAATTTGATGATACAGTATCGATATCGTGGGCTATTGTATCGATATATCAGCAAGAGTATTTTTACGTGTGTTTTACTAAATTATTTTGTTACAGCTACAGTTTTGTGGCTTGTGGAGTGAAAGGAAACTCATTTATGCGACACATTTGACATTTTCACTGTTTTGATTAGGGCTGGTATCATTAAGAAGTTGCCGATACGATACATACCTCGATACACAGGCCACGATACGATACATACCTCGATACACAGGCCTCGATACGATACATACCTCGATACACAGGCCTCGATACGATACATACCTCGATACACAGGCCTCGATACGATACATACCTCGATACACAGGCCACGATACGATACATACCTCGATACACAGGCCTCGATACGATACATACCTCGATACACAGGCCTCGATACGATACATACCTCGATACACAGGCCGCGATACGATACATACCTCGATACACAGGCCACGATACGATACATACCTCGATACACAGGCCTCGATACGATACATACCTCGATACACAGGCCACGATACGATACATACCTCGATACACAGGCCATCGATACGATACATACCTCGATACACAGGCCACGATACGATACATACCTCGATACACAGGCCACGATACGATACATACCTCGATACACTGCACTTTCGATTCGATATGATATATTTCAAATCGATTCGATACAGTTCAATAAAAAATAAAGGCTAAATCATGGCTGTGATACTAAAAGTTTTTGTTAAACCACTTCTTGTGCAAAGTTCATATGAAACTCAAACATTTTAATCCACAAAACAGTGAAAATGTCAAATATGGTGAATAAATGAGTTTCCTTTCACTCCACAAGCAACAAAACTGTAGCTGTAACAAAATAATTTAGTAAAACACACGTAAAAATACTCTTGGTGATATATCAGTACAGTAGCCCGCGATATCGATACTGATCATCATCACATACGATCGATATCCGATATTTTTGCACACCCCTAGTTTTGATGATTAAAACAATAAGTGGTTTAACAAAGACTTTTAGTGTCACAGCCATGATTTAGACTTTATTTTTTATTGAACCGTATCATATATCATATCGAATCGAAAGTGCAGTGTATCGAGATATGTATCGTATCGGCAACTTCTTAATGATACCCAGCCCTACATGATATATCGTCAAAAGTCTCACAATAATATCCTGGACCGTCACAATATATCGAATCATGAGTTCCTTTGTTTAAATGCAGGTTTTTTAGTAGCAACAGCTTATAAACATCGGGAAACTACATATCCCATGATGCATTTCAGCGCAGACAACATGAAGAAATATGTTTTTGACTTGAATTTTTGGGATTATGATGGAAATAAGTCACACTAAAATCTTGTCAAGGTATTTTAAAAGCGTTAAGTTAAAAGTGTCCCATTTACAATCACCAGCCTCTTCAAAATATCGCAATAAATATCGTACCGTGAGATGAATATCGTGAAAATATCGTACCGAGAGATTTGGACATCGTTACATCCCTTGAATATGACAATAAATGTTGTACCAAATGACTTTTCAAAGCGTTTTATAATAAGTCAGTCGTGTTATTATGTATAATATCGTAATATCGTGAGCTTTCCCACGATATCGCAATAAATATCGTACCGTGAGGTTCATACCGTGATGATATCGTATCGTGAGACTTGGATATCGTTACACCCGTATTAATTATATATATTATTAGTGCTGCTCGATGATGGACAAAATCATTATCACGATTATTTTGGTCAATTTTGAAAACACGATTATTCAAACGATTATTTAGTTACACGATGTTTTTATTCTGCATTTCTCTCTCAAAAAAACACTTTGTTGTTGATAATTGAAAATAATATAGTTTACAAATATGAACCTTAGAGCAGTTTTGCAATGTATAAAACATAAAATGAATAAAATATACTTTGAATATGAAATAAGGCAAAGAAAAACTAAATAAACTCTATCTCCAACTGTTCTACAGCTCCGCAGTTTCCCGTTT